AAATTTTTTGGAAATTTTTTCAACCTCTGCACATTTTTTAATCATTTTAATCATTCAAGTCTCATCTTTAATTTAAGACCAAAAGAGTTTAAAAATCTTATTGGGTTCGTGAGATATCATTATAGACGTCGGAGCATGTTTTTTGACAAATGCATTGAATTAGTCGATTTTAAACGGTTTTTGGCAGAAAATGCTCGGACGTTTATAATGATATCTCACGAACCGATTAAGATTTTTTAACTCTTTTGGTCTTAAATTAAAGATGAGACTTGAATGATTACACCTATATAAGTTTCAAATTTTTTCAACAATTTTTAAAAAATGTGCAGGGCTTGAAAAAATTTCCAAAAGAATTTTATTTTTAAAATTTTTTGTCAAATTTGGCGATTGCTGCAATCTTTGTATAAATTATTAAAATTTTCAGTTATGTATAATTAATCGTAGAATTTAATAATCTTTCGAATGGTATATTTGTTAATTTTCTGACATTTGTATTTACAAAGAAATCGTGATCTAAAAATTGGCATGTTTTTAGGCCGTGCGTGTGCAGCCGTACCGATAATTCCCGACGGTATTGTACACAAATTTTATTTACAACTATATAAAAAAATTTTTACAAAACCAAACCTTATCACACCTTATATAAAATAGGATCGATAACAGAACTGAATGCAAACGAAATGCCTATCAAAGATGCTCCAATCGATGATGCGATCACTGGGGATCCATCAAATGATAAATCAAAAAGTAAGTAAAATCTTTATTGGAAAAACTAAAATTACAAATCATTTCCAACGCACTCCTACTTTTCACCTCAAAAACTTTAAAATATAACCGAGGCTAAAATCGAATTAGATTTATTATTTTATTTTCGTAGTGACTTGACTTTAAATGGGGTGTATATGTTTCCCATAGACTATAAAGGGGTTAAAGAACAATATTTAAATTACATGAAGAATTACATGAAACATTCTAATCATTCATAATTAATACAAAAAAATAAGGTTCGCTAACATTCTAATAACTCCTTCCCACTATTTACTTTTCACCCACGTCTTGCTAAACATTACCACATCTTATTACAAATATCCCTCCAGAATCCATCCTAATTATTCATTATTCATTCTGTTATTTTAGCAGGACATATGAATGATGAAAATGTTAACGCGGGAACTGTGAAGGAGTCTGTGCAGCAAAATGGACCGCAAAGCAACATGGCAACGGGTAAAAAAAGTTTTATGGAGAAAGCAGAAAAATTTAAGGAAGATAATTAAGATTAAATGAAATTTATTTCGAAAATTGAATTAAAGATTCATACCATTTTACACGCCTGAAAATTTAGTTTTTTCGTAGAATTTTTTTACGATCTCTGTAGAGTTTATTGATCTACACATTTTTTAGGTCAACAAAAAAACTCTTTAACTATATTGAAAACATCATATTTCTAAAAAAATATTATTTACTTCTTTAAAATTTAACAATAATTTTATCCCTGATAGAAATACCAATGCTAGCTTTATATGTGTTTTTTCGGATTAAAAAATTTAAGAACTAATAATATTTAAAGTCAGTAGGATTGTAGATATTGTTAAAACTAGAATTATTTATTTTCATGTATGTGAAGTAGAAGTTTTAAAAAATTTAAATGGAATAGGTCAAGTAGTTTCCAGGAAAAATTTTACACAGCTTGGAAAATAGTGATTTTGTGAAAATCGCGGTTAAAGCTTTTGTTTTATACTTATAATGTTCGTTCAAACGTTCAAATATCACCAAAATAGTATATTTAGAGTGCTGGGATCTTTCTACAATTTTTGTGCAACATTTTTGAGATATTATACTTTCGATTTCCTTATAATAAATCAATTTTCTGAAGTTGACAAAGTGGTATGAGCTCTTAAAAATTTAATGTACACAAATTTAATTCACAACTATATAAAGAAAATTTTTACAAAACCAAACATTATTTAAAATAGAATCGTCAACAGAAGTAAAGCAATACGAAATGCCTGTCCAGGATGCTTCAACCGATGAGCCGATAACTGTGGATCCACCAAGTGACAAATCAAAAAGTAAGGAAAATATTTTTTATGCAAAAACTCAAGTTACACTCCCATTCTTACCCTTTAGACAACTTCCTATTAATCACTTCCCACTTTTTACTCTTTACTCACGTCTAGCATAACATGACCACATCGTATTACTAAACTTTTGAACTAAGATTAGCTTCCGACGCAAAAGTGATCGGTTATATTGAAGTACGAGCATAGCAGTTTGGTCTCCTGTAGTCTATTCTCCATGCTAATATCCCTCCAGAATCCCTCCTCCTTATTCTTCATTCATTCTTATTTTAACAGAACATATAGATGAAGAAATTGACAACGCGGCAACTGCGAAGGAGTCTGTGCTTTTTTGTATACACCATAATATACAGTAAAATCAACATAAAAGTATAGTTATTGATTAGAAATGTATAAAAATTAATTTTCATAACGCAATCATAAAAATGGCGTTATTTTTCTCTCCGTAGACCAACGTTAAATGGTTCTTTTTAGTACGTATAGTTACGAAAATACTGCGAATGACAGTTCAGTTCAAAAAAGAGTTTTGCTTGTTTTTATCCAGTAGAGGCGTGATTATATTTTCGTTCAGTTACCTACTTTTACCATGTCTTACAGCTGCAACACAGCATTTAGGTTGTTCTCCAACACGTTCGGTAGCTTGGGGTATTATAAAATGCGATTCTTTAAAATGTAGAAAATTATTATTATTCTTTTGAGTTATTTTTTTTAGTATTCGAGGGGCTTAGCCCTCCAAATTCCCTGACCAGGGTTCCGCTCTTAGACCCCGTCGGGGGGGGGGGGGGAGACCCCCGAACCCCCTGCACGATCAACTAGTAACGTACTCTTGACAGTGGATCTGTGTTCCGAATCCACAATTAAATATGTTTTTCAGAGTCAACGCCTTTTTATGATTTTGTTATGAAAAGTATAGTGCGCAACACGTGTAGCGGCATTTTGGAACGAGCGTTACGTTCTCGTAACTCGTCTCCGTTGAGGGGGCTATCGACTCGTTACGAAAACTTAACGCTCGAAGTGCCTATCCAGGATGTAAGAAAAATATTTATTGCAAAACTCAAATTACGAATTATTCCCAAAAACCTTAAAATACTAATCGATATTAAAATCGAATTAGATTTATTATTTTATTTTCGTAGTGGCATGCATTTAAATGAACAATATATGTTCCCCATAGACTATCAAGGAGTTAAAGAAGAATATTCAAATAACATGCAGAATTACATGAAACATTCGAATCATTCATAATTAATATCAAAAAAATTAGGTTTAGTAACATCCTAAAAATCCCTTCCCACTATTTACTTTTCACCCACGTCTTGCTAAACATTACCACATCTTATTACTAATATCCCTCCAGAATCCCTCCTCCTTATTCTTCATTCATTCTTTATTTTAGCAGGACTTTTAGATGAAGAAATTGACGAGGCAGCTGCGAAGAAGTCTGTGGAACAAAATGAACAGCAAAGCAACATGTCAGCAGGTAAGAAAAAACAGATTATGGCGGAATCAGAAATGAAATTTGTTTCGAAAATTGAATTAAGGATTCATACCATTTTACACGCCTGAAAATTTAGTTTTTTCGTAGAATTTTTTTACGATATCTGTAGATTTTATTGATCTATATATTTTTTATGTCAACAAAGAAACTCTTTAACTATATTGAAAACGTTGTATTTCTAAAAAAATATTATTTACTTCTTTAAAATTTAACAATAATTTTATCCCTGATAGAAATACCAATGCTAGCATTATATGTGTCTTTTCAGATTAAAAAATTAAAGAACTAATAAGATTTAAAGTCAGTAGGATTGTAGATATTGTTAAAACTAGAATTATTTATTTTCATGCATGTGAAGTAGAAGTTTTAAAAAATTTAAACGGAATTGGTCAAGTAGTTTCCAGGAAAAATGTTACACAGCTTGGAAAATAGTGATTTTATGAAAATCGCGGTTAAAGCTTTTGTTGTATACTTATAATGTTCGTTCATACGTTCAAATATCACCAAAATAGTATATTTGAAGAGTGGCATGACAAAAGGGGTCAAGCAAAAATTTTTCGAAATTGAGATTTTTTTCATAAAAAAATCAAGTGAATTTACACAATTCTGTAATAGTATATTACGATACTAGGCCAGAAAGTTGGATCACGCTCGCTAGGGTATCCAAATTTCTGGCCGTGTGTCGTATACAATTTTTCTGTATCTCCAGCCGAAAGTACGTTAAATAATTATTGTTTGAATAATAAAATAGCTCAATAAGTTGCCCGCCCGACTTTTGAAAACTCGAGGAGAAGCCGAGACTTAGCTGGTCGGAGCGGGCATGAAAAAAAATTATAAGTAAAAAATAATTGGAAGTAAAATTTAAAAAATAGTAAACAAGAAATTTTCTTTTACAAATAAATATTTAATAATAGTAATATACCTACTTAACGATCATCGGTTCGAAATATTCATCTATTGAGAGTGGTAACCTACTTTAGAAAAGTGACATCTATAAAATGTCGTTCAAACTCAAAATTTTTAATATAATAATTCTTGGTATTTAAATTATAATATTTTTAAATAATTAAAAAATAATAAAAGAAAATAAGAAATTTCTTGCATTATTTTGATGACTGTCAGTTTTTTCAAAACGTGAGCTCTGTAAGTAACGTGTCTGTGTGGTTGCTATGCTAACATGTACGTGTGTTGAAATTCTTGTAACCAATCAGCGCGCTCGTTGGGTCTGTCGAGCCGGCCACAAAAGTATTCCCGGAGCCAAATCAGACCGGGAAGACAGTGCTTTCGGCAAAGGGATACAGAAAAATCAATTTTTTGAAGATGACAAAGTGGTATGAGCTCTTAATAATTTAATGTACACAAATTTTATTGACAACTGTATAAAGTAAATTTTTACAAAACCAAACCTTATTTAAAATAGGATCGTTAACAGATGTTAAACAAAACGAAATGCCTGTCCAGGATGGTTCAATCGCTGAGGAGATCACTGCGAATCGGCAAAGTAATAAATCAAAAAGTAAGAAAAATATTTATTACAAAAACAAAAATAGTAAATTATGAACATTTAAATGACACTCCACTTTTAACCCCATACAATAAAATTGCGGTACGAAAATGCCATGAAATAGTACATTGTGCAACAAGTACAGAAAGAAGCTGTTTTCAACGAGTGCAAAATCTGCTGTCCCAAGCGAAGTTGGAAAATCTTCTTTCGTACGTGTTGCACACAGTACTTTGTGCAACACCTTTTGGTTTTGGTAAAAAAAGCTGTTTGAAAACGGTAGTTGACGCCAACATACGTGCTGTTTAGCAGGGTTTGAAATGTTACCGCACGTAATATACGTGGTTTTCCACGCGTATATTACTGTAAAAAACAGGTATTCTACAAATAGAAAACAAATACCTATGTATATCACCGCACTAGTGCAGCAAAGTACTGTTTTGCGCCTACTTTACAGACATGTAAAGTATTACTTTCCTTACAGGTGTTGCCCAAATACTATTTACAGTTTATTTTACAAAAATTGTGTTTTTGTTTTGGTTTTTATAACTTTTTGATCATAATTTTCATCTCATTACATATCAAAAATGTTATCTTCTTTCTTATAAAAAACTAGTAGTATACTACCTATTATAATTAAGTTATATTGCATAAAACATAAACATTGTATAAATAATCCAAAATTGGGGTAACTTTTGTTCGACAGTTATATTTCTACGAAAGAGCCAAAAATATTGTACTGATAGCTATACATGTTTTTGGATGTGATTAATACCCCTATTTTCCTTAATTTTTGTAGCTTTATTTTTTTGAAAAATTTAATATTCTCAACTAATGAAAAAGTCAATATTTTATTCTTAAAGTTTTTCTATATACCTTTTAAAATCCGCTTGATTTCTTTAAATTTATCACTTTGTTAAAGGGCCAGTTCCATGTTGGCGTAAAAACGACAAAGCGTCGGCGTCAAAGCGTAAACATATGAGAGTGAAAGCAATAACCTTATACCACTGTCTCGCTAACTCACATACTTTAACGCCAAGAGTAATCAACGCCAACGCTTTGACGTTTTTACGCCGACATGGGACTGGCCTTTAAGAAACTACAATAATTACAAACAACAATTAAACATTTTGCGAAATTTTCCAACTTTCTCTATTCTCTTTTGTTTTAACAATCTTTTTCAAAATTTCTCAACATTTTACTAGCCGCAGTCTTGACAAATTTGGATACAAACGTTAAGCCAAGTTTGGACAACTATGATTGCCAAAGTTATGCAAATAATAATCAAAGTTACCCCGATTATGGTGCCATAGATGGACCAATAAATTAACCACTGGTCAAATGACGTGATCTTCATCAACACCCTGGTTAAAAAACCGTACAGATTTGGGACAAATCCAAAATTTATCCGAAACAGTATGATTTAAGGTCAGGTTTTTGTCATCCAAAATTAGTTGTGATAAATCTGTAATCAATACGAGTTGTATACAACTAATAAATCAGGAATTAGTCAAAAACAGTCAAAAATTATTTCGGACAATTTAATGAATGTTAATAAAAAAATAATTATACAAGTTACACATACGGGAGACTGTTAAAGTTTATTGAATAAAAAACAACCGTTTGTCTGTAATGACAAATTTATTTGATAAGATACAAAAATGAAACGCACACGCTGTGCCAATGCTCGTGGCTATACTAAACTCGTAACGACGATATCTGCGACTACATACGTTACAGCATCAATCATACGTCACAAAAGAGCGGGATAAATCAAAATCTTAACACTCCCTCTATTTGAGCGCTCTCCTAGATGTAGAATCCTAGTGTAGAACAAAGAAAATTGTGACGATTCTTAGGCAGTGCCTTTGTGAAAAGATCAGCGCGTTGAAATTGAGTCGAAACATATTCTATAGTTATAATATTTTCTGAAATCTTCTCTCTGATATGGTGATATCGCACACTCATGTGTTTAGTGCGTTTATGAAACTCTGGGTTTTTCACAAGTTTAATAGCACTTTGATTATCTACGAAAAGAACCGTAGCACCAAAACACTGACGTCCAATATCACCAAGCAAAGATCTGAGCCAAACAGCTTCCCTAGCAGCTTCGGATGCCGCTACATATTCTGACTGTCGTACTCAACGTAACTAATTTTTGTCTCTGAGTTGTCCATGATACAGCACCATTAGCTAAAGTGAAGGCATAGCCTGTAACAGACCTACGCGTTACAATATCGCTAGCGTAATCTGCATCCGAGAAACCAATAAGCTGTGGCTCATTCCCGTCCCTAGTGTACCTGATACCATAGTCAGCTGTTCCGATTAAATACTTAATGATGCGCTTAACAGCTTGCCAGTGAGTGTCGTCATATTTGTCTAGAAATCGGCTTACAATATTAACAGCATAAACAATATCAACACGAGTAACAGTTGCTAAAAAAATTAACGAACCCACAGCCTCACGATAAGGCACTTTATCTACTTTTTCACACGTTACTCGAACTGGTTGTAAGATAACATTCGGATCTGCAGGCAGACTGAGATGGTTCGCGTCATTCATTCGAAATTTAGAAATAATTTTATCAATAAACGTGCGTTAATGTAAAAAAATTGTACCACTTTCTCGATCACGTTCAATTTGTAGTCCTACAAATATACTCGTATCTCTTATTGTGATGTCAAATGTTTTTTTCAAATGGTTAAGAACCAAATCAACCACTTTTTGAGACTTGGCTGCAATGAGCCCGTCGTCGACATACAATGCGAGAAACACAACACTATCCTCCACAATACCACGAAAAATACACCTGTCGGAAGCACTTTCCACAAAATTAAATTGCTTTAGAAAATTATGAAATATTTCACTCCAACATCTTGGAGCTTGTTTAAGCCCATATAAGAATTTTTCAAGCTTACACACACAATTTTCACTAGATTCATCGATGAGTAGTCCTTCTGGAATCTCCATCAAAATATCCTCTTGAAGATTGCCATAAAGAAAGGCACTTTTTACGTCAAATTGGGTCACCTCCAAATCCACTTGTGTGATGATAGCCAACAATACTCGAAGAGAGTCGTACCTCACGACAGAAGCAAAGGTCTCGTTTTAATCCATTCCTGGTTGTTGTTGATAACCCTTGGCCACCAATCGAGCTCTATATCGTTCTATTTCACCTGATGAATTTTGCTGAATTTTAAAAATCCACTTCGAGTCAATAGGCTTCCGATCCTTCGGCCTTGGTATAATTTTCCTCGTCTTATTTCTACTGAGAGCCTGAAATTCTTCATGTATAACATTTATCCATTCTGCAGAATCAGAACCCGTGAAAGCTTCTTAGTATGTCTCAGGTAAATGACATTCAGTGAAACTTACTTCATACCTTGCAGGTTTTTTAAGTAAATCTCGACTCCTCAAACTTCTGGGCTCTGCGTCATCATTGGCTCTGACATCTCGCATCACTGGTTGATTTACAGGATTTTCTTCTTCGTCTCCCTCTGCTTCGATATTGACATGTTCTGTAGAAGCTTCGTTGAAAGGAATTTTGACCTCAATCGTATTTTCCGCACTCATTGGAAACACCCCATGTGATTTTTCATTGAAGGTCACATTTCTTGACACTGAAACACGTTTATTTACTGGATCATATAACCGATAATTGGATAACTCATCTTCGTAACCAACGAGTAAAACTTTGCGCGATTTCACATCTAATTTTTTTCTTAAATTTTTATTCACATGCACAAAAGCTTCTGATCCAAAAATCCTCATGTGACTGAGATTAGGTTTTTTGTCCATCCAAATTTCGTAAGGTGTGATTCCAGGATTTTTACTTGATGCTGTCCGGTTTAGCGTATAAACAGAAGTGTTTACAGCCTCAGCCCATAAAGCCAATAAAAGATCTTTCGCGTGCAACATTGTTCTGGCACTCTCGACAATTGTTCGATTATCTCTTTCAGACTTCCCATTCTGCTCCGGTGTATATAGAGCAGTTGTCTCCAGAATAATTCCTCGCTTTGAAAGATAGTTCTTCATTTCTTTATTTAGGTACTCGCCTCCATTGTCCGAACGTAAAACTTTCATAGTTTGATTGAATTTGTTAGCTACCATCCGTTCATATTTTTGAAAACACTCAAACACATCAGACTTGTGCTTTAAAAAATACACTTAATGAAAACCCGATGCGTCGTCCTTGAAAGTGACAAAGTATTTAGCCCCACCCAAAGACTCCACTGACATCGGCCCACACACGTCAGAATGCACATATTCTCCAGGTTTTCGAACTTGTGGATTTCCTTGTTTATTAAAAGGTAGACGATGACTTTTACCCAGCTGACAGGATTCACAGAAAAAATCACTCTTATCCGACAATTTCAATCCATCTACACATCCTTTTGTAGCCATTTCTCGAATAGTTTTTTTATTAACGTGGCCTAGCCTTTCGTGCCAGACTTGCAGGCTCGTTGTTGACACATTAGCTTCACGAGTATTTGGTGTTCTTAGCCTAAAGAACATCCAATAGATTTCATTGTCTCTCTTATACCCTTGTGCAATTTCTTTATTTTCACGAGTAAATATAACAAGATTTCCGGTAAACAAAACATCGAATTTTTTTGTTGTACACACTCCGATAGAAAATAAATTTTTACGTAAACCCGGAACATAAAGTACGTTTTCGATTCGCGATTCAGTCCACTCATCATTGATTAATTTTTCGATCAGAACTGTTCCGTGTCCTTTAACCTCAAAAGTCCCGTCATCCCCTAGGGTAACTGTACCACCTATTCCTGGGATGAATTCACTATACCAATCTCGTCGGTATGTAATATGTCTGGAGGCACCACTGTCGGCGATCCAGACATCCTGCATTTCATTATTCAACAATAACACAACCTGCGGACGAGATGGCACTTCACTCAATAGATCACTTCCTTGATTATCACTTTTACCAGATGAGGTAACGATAAAAACACAGTCTTGAGAATTACTATTCTTTTGTTCAAGTTCTTTATCG